AATCATATCATCAACATATATGAGTAAAAGAACCATTCCTTGAGCAGATTTACAGACAAATAAAGTAGTACCATGTGGACTAGATGTGAAACCAAACTCACTTACAATAAAACTGAATTTTGCAAACGAAGCTCGAGGAGACTGCTTTAAACCATATAAGGCTCGTCATAATCGACCTACCTTATTTGGAGGTTGAGTAAGTGTAGGAGGCAGTTTCATATAAACCTCCTCTTCTGAATCACCCAAATCACCACTAAGAAAGGCATTCTTCACATCCATCTGAAACAACTTCCATTTACATACAGCAGTAATAGCTAGTAGACTGTGTACTGTGGTAAGACGAGCAACAGGAGCAAAGGTCTCTTCATAGTCAATGCCATATTCTTGTGTAAAACCCTTTGCCACTAGTGTGCCTTATAATGCTCCACAGATCCATCAAAATGAGTTTTGATCTTGTATACCTACTTGCATCCAACAGAGTCTTATCAGTAGGAAGATCAACCAAGTCCCAAGTACTTGTCTTTTGCGAAGCTTGTAATTCCTCTTTCATAGCTTGTTGCCATAGAGGATCTAAAGAAGCTTCCTTGTAGGACTGAAGTTCATGTAAAGAGGTAAGTGCAGAAAAACAATGGTAATTTTGAAGATATGTAGGTGGATTTCTTATCTGAGTAGGATGACTGGAAGAGGAAGCAACTGGTGAATTTTCAATCTCATTTGTTCTAGGTGCAATATCCATAGAAGAGACATCTTCTGAAACAGGAGCCGTGGTAGTTTGATCTCCCTATGAGTTATTTTGTGTTATTTGTTGATAATTATTCTCGCTTCACTTGGCTATATTTGATGAAGAAATGCTTAGAATTACCTCAAATTTACTTTGAGTTTACTAATACGATAAAGATTCAATTCTCTAAAACTATCAAAGTCTTGAGGATTGATAATGCTCTTGAATATCTTGATTCTAAATTTTAGTCTTTTCTTAAAGAGTAGGGCACAATACAACAAAGATCTTGTCCATATACCTCTCAAAAGAATGGGCGGGTTAAGGATAAACATCATCATATTTTGGACTTAGTTCGTGCTCTCCTGATTTCCTCTTCATGTCCTAAGCGTTTTTGGGGTGAAGTTGCACTTACAACAGTCTATGTCATAAATCGAGTCTCATCCACTATCACACAAAATAAATCTCCCTATGAGTGTCTCTATGGTATTCTTCCTGCCTATGATCTTCTTAAAATTTTTGGTTATGCTTGTTTTGTTCTTTTACCTTCTCATGAACATCACAAGTTAGAGCCTCAAGCTCTACTTTGTTGTTTTTTGGGGTATGGGATACACCATAAAGGTTATCGTTGTTGGGATCCAATATCACAAAAACTTCGTGTCTCTCGTCATGTTGTTTTTTGGGAACATAATATGTTTGCTTCTCTTTCTAAATTCAAGGTGTCTCTTTCTCATCAAACTCTTATCTCTACCAATTCATCCCTTGAGTTATTTCCTAGTGATGATGCAAGGTCTCCTGATGAGCTTTCAAATGATCAAACTACCATGGCTCTTGTTTCAGAAAATGTCTCTTCTGCGGATATTGCACCTTGAACAATTGAGATTGAAAATTCACCAGTTGCTTCCTCTTCCAGTCATCCCACTCAGGCAAGAAATCGACATACATATCTTCAAGATTACCATTTTTTTTTTTTTTTGCACTTACCTCTTTACATGAACCTCAATCTTACAAGGAAGCTTCTTTAGATTCTCTATGGCAGCAAGTTATGAAAGAGTAATTATAGGCTTTGGAAAAGAAAGGTACTTAGGACTTGGTTGATCTTTCTATTGATAAGACTCTTGTTGGATGCAAGTGGGTATACAAGATCAAAACTCATTCTGATGGATTTGTGGAGCGTTATAAGGCACGCCTAGTGGCAAAGGGTTTTGCACAAGAATATGGCATTGACTATGAAGAGGCCTTTGCTCTTGTTGCTTATCTTACCATAGTATACAGTCTACTAGCTATTGTTGTTGTACGTAAATGGAAGTTGTTTCAAATGGATGTGAAGAATGCCTTTCTTAATGGTGATTTGGAAGATGAGGGATGTTGTTATCAATGAGACTAGCAGATCCAGACATAGCATATGCAGTTCATGTTGTTAGTCAGTTTATGGCTGCTCCCCATTCCACTCATTATGCTACTGTACTTCGTATTATTTGCTATGTTAAGGGAACACTATTTCATGAACTTCACTTCTCAGCTCATTCCTCACTTGTACTTCGTGCATACTCAGACACTACTGGGCTGGCGATCTTACAAATCGAAGATCCACTACCGGTTATTGTCTCTTTCTTGGTAACTCTCTTATTTCATGGCGTAGTAAGAAACAAGCTATTCCATCTCGCTCTAGTATTGAGGCTGAATACAGAGCTTTAGGTGACACCACTTC